ATCTAATCGGTCTGTTGGAGGTAATTGACAGCAGGCGGTCTCAAGTACCCAGGTCCAATACCATGAAGGGCTTTATAAGTGACAACTAGCACCTATAGGCAGCACACTAGCACCGAAGGCCAATAGGCAGCCATATCCCATATTTACCACATCCAATTCTTAAATAACCCATTCCCTACTGCATTCGACTTTTGTTTCTTTTGGCATAAGCAAACCACACTTATAACAAAATGGACAGAAGCCTAATCTTATTAACAACTATTTTCAGTTAATTTCAACAAACATTAATTCCTCAAAATGAACCACTAGTTTTCTACCAGTATTTTCATACTTCAGTATTTTGTTTATTTTAAGTGAACTTGCAATGTTTCCTGTATTTTTTTCTGTCATACACAACTGTTTGAGTCTTTGATACTGTAATATTCCATATTCTGAAGATGCTGTAGATAACTTGAAGAACTGCTTTAGAAATTTTAAACTAAAAGGAAAACAATGTCAACTATAAAATGCTAACATGTAACAAAGAAAACTTTCTCTCCCTTCAGCCCTACTTTCTTTCCCGTTTTTCCTTTTCTTCGATGTCAATTTTTCTGTAGTTCACTCTTGACACTAACAATAATCTGTCTCTTAGTCAAAACATCTGATCATTTGTGTCCTTTGCTAATTGTGGTCAATATGCCACTAGTGTAATTTGAGTTCAGTCACAGCATGTTTACAATATTCTATACAATCTAGGACAGTGATGGTGAACCTTTTTCTTACAGCGTTTCAAAATTGACCATTCAATCCTTCCCCCCCATCTGCACATATGCTTGTGATACACACACACACACACACACACACACACTGCATGCACGCATGAACACTCCACAGGCTCCAGAGGCTTTCCTGAAGTCTGGGGAGGGTGAAAAAGGCCTCCCCCAGCTCCATGGAGGACCCCTGGAAGTTGGAAATGGATTGTTTCTAAACTTCCACTTGTGCCATTGGAGCCTTTTTTTGCCCTCCCCAGGCTTCAGAAAAGTCTCCGGAGACTGGGGAGGGCAAAAAAAAAATGGCCCTGATAGGGCAACCGGAAGTTTGGGAACCAACTTCCAGTTGGCCCATTGGGGCCGTTTTTCACCTTTCCCAGCCTTCAGAGGCTTTCCTAAAGGCTGGGGAAGGTGAAAAAAGCCTCCCCTGGTCCTCTGGAAGGGCGAAAAATCAGGAGCTGGCAGCTGACATGCCACCAAAAATAGCTTCGCGTGCCACCATAGGTTCGCCATCATGGATCTAGGATCTTCAAACTGCAAGCAAACATGTCTCCATAGCACCAACTAGGAGTTATGTATAATATACTGAAATTTACTTAGGTTAAGTGTCTGTTGGTTGTATACGTTTGGTACTCAGTTCTAGTTTTTCTTAATTAAAAAACTCTGGGATTCCATGAGACTTTGTGATTGGCAGAAAAACTTTTAATTTTCCCATGCTATGTAATATTAGCAATTGTACTGATAGGGATTTTTTATGAACCAGGACTCAGCTGCCAGCCTGCTCTTTTGTTTTGTTATCAGCATTGCAAAGCTACAGTGTAAGTTAGAAGTGTGTTGCATTGTGAAGTTTTCAGGGTTTTTTTAGATTTTTATGTAGGGTTTCCCTGAGACCTGAAAAATATTTTAAATGTTCTTCCAAAATAAAATAAAAACTTGAGAAAAACAACTTGAACCAATGAATTTACCAATTATCAGTGGCTAAAACAAAAGGCTTGTTTTTGACTGCAAGAGAATTGGCCATAAATAGGATGCAACTCAGTTACGTGAAAAGAAGGAAAGTGGATGGATGCTTGGCTTATGTAATGGTATGTGGGAACGATCCTGAGACACAGGGTAAAAGATGCTGTCTAGGGAACAGCCAGACAAGAGGAGAAGGAGTCTACAATTGCAGGAATGATCTTCTCTAATTGATCAGGCTGTTAAAAGAAATGGTAGGAGATCTGTACTTGCAAGATTCTGTCAATGTAGTCTTATAATAAAATAGAATTAGATCATCTGGTTGTGTTTTCTATTTGGTTTACCTGAGAGGGCTAATAGCTTACTATAGTCTCCAGAGAAGAATTCATAATAAGCAAATTTGTTCTTTCCCTCCCCCCCCCACCTCTCCTTTTACTTTAACCTTTATTTACTTACATGAGTAAAGCAAATGAAACTCGTGTGTTTAAATAAATAAAAATGCACTTATGAACGAACTACTTGTGAACAACTTGAAAAATTTTGGGGATTACAACCTGCTGTGCTATCTTTCTAAAATATCAGTGCTAAATGTTTCATTCATTTATTCAGGACTGTTTTATGGAAATAAATTTTAGGACAAACCCTGGAGATAGAATTGGTTTGCCAAGGGGCCCATTGACTAGGCACTTCAATCTCTTTAAAACCTCTGGGAAATAAATTAGCAAAGTCATCAATTATCATGGCTCTTTTTCTTACAGGGGCACTACACTCCCTCTGTCCTCTCAGGATTGTCTGTCTTGTCTCCTGTTCCAAGAGTCTTTTTTTCTTCTGATTATAGGTACTCCTTACTTACCAACCATTCATTCAGTGACTGTTTAAAGTTAAAACAGTGCTTTAAAAAACTTTATAGCCCATTCATCTCAGCATTTCTCAGTCATGTGATCACCATTATAGTCAGAACATCTCTGGTGTCTGACTGTCTTCTTCCTCTATTCTGCTGTCAAGATGAGGAAGGGAGAAATTGAGCAAGCGTTGTATACATCAAAAGCAATGCAACCTCAGTGGCAAAAAGAAGGCAAACCTTTTCAGGCAAAGTAGAGATTGCCTACATAAATTGCTTGCTCTCTGCCCCCAGAAGAGAGATTGACGAAAAGGGAATTTCAAGAGAGTAAGCTGTTTGTATACCATGTCTTTGGTTCCAGCCCCAGGCTGCAGCACAATCACATTGTTTTTGATGTGTACAAGACAGTAACCATGCAGTTGAGAATGCCAAAGGGCCAGGAATGGTTAGAAGGAAAATAAAAGCCAAACTGAATAATCTTGTCTCTTTCCAGCTACAAAGCACATTTGCACTCATTTGATTTTCTGCTTAGTGACTGGTTCACTTACCAGCAGAGTTGCCAGTCCCAATTAGTATCTTTAAGTGAAGACTATCTCTGCTCTTTTGTTAGAGTTTAAATACTATTTATAGGAGTTATAAAATACAGTGCATAAATAAGTTGCAAAATACGTTGCCACATGATTTGAAAAGAGGACTGATTAATATATGTAAGAAAAAGCTATGAATTCCTGCTAATAATAATTATGCATTGCCTTCTTAACTGAAGAAGGTGTATCTCTTAACTTGCTGAGAAAATGGACTTGATGATACTCTTGCATTCATTACATGCTTGTGATTTTCCATAGATGTTTGCATGGTATAGTAAGAAGATAATGGCTATTGCTAATCTTAAAAAAGTGAATAGTATGCAGGTAGTCCTCGATTTATAACCAATTCACTTAATGATTGTTCGAAGTTGTAACAGCACTGGAAAAAAGTGACTTATTACCATTTTTCACATGATGCAGCATCCTGGTAGTCATGTGATCAAAATTTGGATGTTTGGCCTTTGGCATGTAGCAGTGAAGGTAGCAGTGTCCCAGGGTTATATGGTCAGCTTTTGACAAGCAAAGTCAATAGCAATAGCAGTTAGACTTATATACCGCTTCATAGGGCTTTCAGCCCTCTCTAAGCGGTTTACAGTCACCATATTGCCCCCAACAACAATCCGGCTCCTCATTTTACCCACCTCGGAAGGATGGAAGGCTGAGTCAACCCTGAGCCGGTGAGATTTGAACAGNATATATATATATACACACATACATACATACATACATACATACATACATACATACATCCTTTTGAGCCTCTTTCAGATTCGCTCGTTTTCCAGGTTTGTCCTTTACCGCCCCCCTCGCCCCAAATATGTCACCGTACTCTAAACAACATTTTGCCTTTAATCCTCCAAGGCGCTTCTTTGAGAAAGGTGATGCTTGATTAAACCATTTAACAAATTAAAAGGACTACACGTTATAAAGACAAACATTTCAAAGCTGCTCTACACAGGTCCACTTAAAAGCGTGAGAAGTAAAACCGGTCTGCACCCTGCCCTCACCAAGGAAATACAGCTATAAGAAACGTCACCGCCCCTATTTTTACCGGTGAGGGGGGGGCAGCTACCTAAAGACACCCAGCAGGACGCCGGTCAATCAAGCAAAGCCAGAGAGAGAGAAGGTGGGGGGACGACTACCGAGGGCGGGGCAAGTTCGTTCGGGGCCGCCGCGACGTCACGCAAATCTCCGCGGCCCAGGAGCGGCGCACCTCCCCAATCACGCCTCGCTCCCTTTGAGAGGCGGGGCTTGAGGCTCGGAGGGCGAGCGAAGCTGCTGTGCACATGCGCGCGGGGTGGGAGGGGTGGGGGCTAGTGGGACGGCGGTTTTGTGGTCGGAATCCGGCACGGGAGGTGGCCGAAGTTGCGGTGCTTGACTGACTCTCGCTCGGCAGAAGGCAAAACCGGGGAGCTTCTCTTCCTTCCCTCCCCCCCCCTTCGTCGCCTCTGGTTGGGAGAGCTCCGGAGTGGCGCGGGAGCTGCGTGCCTCTCGCTTTCGCCTCGCACCTGGCTATGCCTCCTTGTCCGTCAGTGCTGGTGTTAGGAGCGTGAAGGTGAGGCCCCGCGTCTCCTCTTTTGGTCCTGCTGCTACCTGACAGGTGCCTCAGCCGAGGCCGCCGACTCTAGGGATCCCCCAACGGCGCCCGGCATTCGCCCCACTTACCTTCCTTCGCCGCCTTTGTGGAATCTCTATGGTCCCTGTGAGGGGAGGGCTCTGCTTTCAGTTTGGGGGCCCACAGGTTGCTGTTCCTCTCTTCTCTCCCCCCTCCCCCGCACTGCGCTCCTTTTCCTAACAAACTCCCCCCCCCCGGGTGCTGTGCGCGCGCGAACTTTCATCGGTGTAGCCTGGACGCCTCCTGCACTCTCGCCCCCCAGCCCCGCCTTTTCCATCTTCCTTTTTTGTTTCTTCCTGATTGTGTTTGTGTTTTGCTCTCTTTCTCTTGCTCTCCATTCCCGAGTAGGAATTGTAAGGGGGCTCTTTCACGTCCTGATCTTTCCTCGAATGTTTACTAGCGGCTGTCTTTATCTATCCAAGTGTTTAATCCTGCAGTGGTCGCCAGGTATGTGGGACTCAGAGTTTGTTTGTTTGTTTAAAAGGCTGCTTCCTGGGTGTCTGGCACGAACGAGGAGTTAGTTTCTGTCTCTCAGGATTCCTGGATGCAGCTATTTCTATTGCTGCCTTGCCCAGAGTCTATTTCTGTGCGTCCTGCCCTTAATCCTGCCTTACTTCTTTCTCTGATCTACTGGAAGTCCTATGTTTGGCGAATTGGCCTTGTAAAGCTATTAAGTCCTAACCTGTTTTTGCAAAAGGAATTATGCCCAACAACATTGCATACAGGAAAGGGGTTTTTGTGATTTTTCTAGAGTTAAACTATTGTGAAGGAACCTCAAAGAACATGTGCATTGCGCCTCTGATTGTATCCTGGTAATTCCAAAAGCATCAAATTATTCCCTGGATTGATTGTGTCAAGATACAAGAAAATTGAAGCAGTTTAGCTTTTCCTTAATATATGTCCGCATTGACATAATTAGTAGATGAGTTTTTATTATACATTAATGATTTTTCATTATATCTTGTCTTGCAAAAAGAGCAATAGACATAATCTTTGCTGTTTTAAGACAAATTTCCAAAAAGTTACAGGTCCTAGTAAAAATTTGCACTTAATGTATTTTGTTTTCCTTGAATTAAAATCATTTTCTTTCTATAGTACTTGATTAACATTATTTAAATGGAAATTAGCTATATTTTATTATAAAAGAATAAAAATGTAAGGGTTAGGCTTATTTGTGGTGGTGAAAAGTCTTAGTAGCTTTGTTTCTGCTCACACAGGATGCTATCTCCAACAAATGTAAATGCAAGTGAGGATAACAAGATAGAGCATTGTCTTTTTAATTAAATGTACCTGGAAAAAAATTTAACGGATATTTTTAAATAATATATTGTCTGTTGATATTTATTTTCTTTAAACTGATTAGTCAGTTAATTATCTGGTGAATTGCTGTTGCTGAAGTGAAAGGATAAAGCAGTATTAATATCCCTTTTCAATCAACAATTCTGGATTGTTTAATAGTTAAAAGCTTTCTAATTAAAAAGCATTTTGTTGAAATCTCAATCTTTAAAAGCAGATGATTTGGAAGTAGCAGTGCATATGATTTGTTCCATACCAGTGAGTCAAGAATGTAAACAAATAATGGACTTCAGCCATATTCTTAATATTCTCATCAAAGTTTCTCATGAAATCTCTTGCTAGGCATACTCAGCTGCTGCTTCCAAGATAATAGGTTTGAGATTTTTTTTAAAAAAGTTCTTTCCTAAATAATGTCACTAAGATATTATAGTAGCATAGTTAAGGCAATCTTATACGTACCTAGAAATTACATTGAAATCAGTAGAATATATTTCTGAGCAGACATTTTATTGGTAAAAAAAATTGCCTCCTTTGATATCAATATGCCATATTATTAATGCTCATTTGTTTAATTTATATGGTTTCACATATTATATGCCTAACTCTGGAAAACAGTAAAACATTTGAAAAACTAATATAAATTAAGAACAATATGCTTAAATCTCTCATTAAAATTAATACTTAGTAATTTATGGATCATATTGTGATTTGCATTGGTTTTAAAAATGGTGATTTTTATTGCTGTCATATTTTAACTGGCTTGAATAATGATGTTTGGAAAGGCAGCTAATTTTCTTACATCAAAATCCAATATAGCTTGTTTGCTTTTGCATTCCTGAATTGTTGTTAGACTTTCCTGAGCTAGCTGAAAATGTGGTTTGGCATAGTTCTAATGATAAGTTAAGCCTAACACTAGCTCAGATTTGGAATGTTTTGTCTGCCATGTGAAATGCTTTTGGGAGAAATTAACTGCTTAGTTATTTAAAAGATTTATAAGGCTGCCTATTCACAGTTTGTGATTCTAAGTTGCATAAAAAGGTTCTTTTTTAAATATACATATTAGAAAAGGAAGAAAATAACTTTTTCCTTTTCCCATTTTAATAAGGAAAGTTAATCATTTTCAGTCAGACAAGATTAATTCTAAATTTAATGCCTTAATAAGAATATCATCAATATTTTGACATTGATGATGTAAGAGCTGATCACTTAGACTGTTCTGTTCCTGCTGGATGATCTAATAATTCAAACTGTGACCATTGAAACAATTTATTGGTAGTCCTCAACTTACCACCATAGTTGAGCCCAAAATTTCTGTTGTTATGAGTTGTGACCCATTTTATGACCTTTCTTGCCACAATTGTTAAGTGAATCACTGCAGTTGTTAATAACATGATTATTAAGTAAATCTGGCTTCCCCATTGATTGTACTTGTCAGTGAATATGAAATTGCAAAGGTCAGAATAAGTAAGATAGCTAAATAAGGAAATATTGAAAATAGTCTCAGAATTTGAGTAATATAGTATCACCATAATAGCTTTGATGTATCAGCTTCAAATAAAATAATAAATAATAAATGTTGTGCAATACGTTGTATACATAATTTTTTTTTAATTTTGATGCTTGTGAAGTATTATCCAAATAAACATGAATTTTAGAATTGGTACTTAATGATGATTATGATGATGACGGTATCTTTCAGAGATGAACATGTAAAGCAGATGTTATTTGTTTTCATTCCTTTCTCTAATATAATGGACAACCTCCAGAATACTTGAAGAAGCAGAAGCTAAATGTTTCTGCACTATAGATCTCCTTTTTTCTTTGCTTAGCATTTGAGGGCAATATTTAGGTAAAGCTATTAATTTGTCCCTGCTTAAATATTTCAGTGTGAAACAAAATTTAAAATTCCATATTTTATCTGATTCCAGTTTAGGAAAAAGCATATTTTCCAATCCATAGGTAGCAAGATACATCAGGGGTCCTCAACCCCCAGGCCACAGCCCACTACCTGGCTGCAGCCCATTTGGAACCAGAGAGCAGAAGTGGCAGGTGAGCATGTGCAGGCACAGCTCCATGTGTGAGCAGCAGGCAAGCATGTACCCGGAAAGCTCAATTTATGTGAGTAGCGGGCAAGTTTGGAAACATCATGGAAATGAGCAAATATGTGTAGGCTCAGCTCCACATATGTGAGCAGCGGCTCTGAGTGCACACATGCAGTTCCATTTGCACAAGCAGCAGATAAGTTTGGAAACAGGCCATAAAAGCGGCGTGCAGCTTCATTTGCGTGAGCAGCAGGCAAATATGCTCTCTGCTCGTGAAAATGGAACTGTGTGCATATGCTCACCTGAAACTTACACAGAACCATTCCATCTCTCCCCTCCTTCCCATGCTGGTCCTTAAAGCCGGAAAGTTTCGGGACCTCTGAGGTACATACATACATCATATTATTCCCTTACATACTCATCCATAATATGCAAAGAGCAGAAAAAAATATAAGAGATAGTAAGTAAAAGAAAGAGATAAGGAAATCTGACAAAATCTAGACTACCTTATTTATAATGACTGTTCTTACAAATGATTGTTTCCACCACATACATGCAGTACATACATCTCAAATCATGGGTTTTCTTTAATCTTCTTTTGTTTCATCTTTCTTTCTGAGAATCTTATGCACTTTAACCACATATCTTTTTTGATGTTCTGCTTTTCAATCCATTCACTGTCCTTTATGTATTTTAATCTGTACAGATAGTCCTTGAGGTATGACCATAATAGATCCTACCCATTATAGTCATAAATTGTAATAGTTGTAAAACTGATTTTAAGACTTTTTGCAGCAGTTGTTAAGTGAATACAGCAGTTGTAAGTGTGAATATTAAGCAAACACAGTGGTCATAAGTGCAAACCAATTATAGGTGCAGTTTTGTTGAAAACCAGAAATGCCAGTTTTTATAAAATCTTTGTAAAACATGGTCATACCATGTGGAATGCTGCAAATAGCTGTAAATGCAGCCATGTTGCTGAGTGCCTGAAGTGTGGTCATGTGGCTGCAGGGACTGACCATCAGAACTTTGGATCCAGGTTGTAAGTTCTCTTTTCAGGTAGATTGTAACTTTGAGTTGTTGCTAAGTAACTGGTTGTAAATTGAAGATTACGTACCGTAATTTGATTTTCATTTATCTGTCATTATGATCAAAGTACCTGAATTCTTTCTTCTGATCACTAGCTTTTATATTAAACACATTAATTCATTACTTATTCATCTGGTCCTTATATTTCGATTTTCGATTTTATTGTATTTCTATGCCGCCCTATTCCCAGAGGGACTCAGGGGGGCCCCCAAACCAGGCCGGGGGGGGGGGGGGGGTACAAACAGGAAAAAAAAAGACACGGACAAAACAATACCACAATTTAAAAACAATCAACAGCCACACCATTCGAGCGGGGACAAG